AGAGCTAATTAACATGGGGACAGCAGGGGAGAAGGGACCGGGCAGTCTGCCTCATAACACAGCTTGGTATGATGAGAAAGCACTTTCCTGGTGGGAAAGGTTAAGTATCATAATAGCCTTAGTGGAAGACATTATGGACTTGGTAGGCTGTATGCGTGCTGTACACTGTAAATGCAGTACAGGGAAGTTGAAGTCAAAATGTACTTTCAAACAAATTAAATATCTAGATCTAAATACCTGCAAGAACTTCAGAATCTTTTAATTCAGCAGTCCTGAAAGTTAAGCATATAGTTTTTTAAAGAAGTCCATGGGATCAGGTGCTAGTGTACACAGGAGTGTTTTAATGCCCTTTCTGCACCTGCTACAGCTGACATGCAAGAAGGCTGCAAAATCTAGTGCAAGCTAGATTAATACATCAAAGAGAAACTAAAGATAATTTTGTAAGATTTTGGCTATCTTGGAATCAAGACACATGCGCCTGAGAGCATTAAGTGAGACCGATCTCTGGCACTTCTGCCACTGGTTTTTGATATCAAATTGATCCATTGACAAAGTAGTGTGCCTTTTACCTGGTATATACTCAGTCTTTAAATGTACCCTCTACGGAACAGCCTTATCAGCCTGATCATTTTCATGGCTGTGGGAAGCTTGAGTTTCAATCCCCCCAGCTAAGATGGAGTTAACTCAAGCCCTATCTGTGGGCTACTGTTTTAACAGCTGTGACCTTATGGAAAAGGTAGCTCTATCCTTGCAATTTGGAAAGCACTCCAGGCTTTCTGTAAGCACTTGAGGCATGCTAAGATCATATCGACCAAATAAGAGTTCCTCAGGGTAATTTGTGTAGGAATACTTAGCTTTTGAATTTTAAAATGGAAGCAGGTATTTAGGCATCTGTCTCCACCAATACAGAAGCACTCTGGGCATGCAAAGAACCAGAACTTAAAGCTACCGAAGAAGGAGCAACCTCCAAGGTTCAAACATGTTTTCGTGTCCCAAGACTGTGCTCTGAGCAGCAGGTTAGTAGACACAGACTAGGGGTTGTTAGATGTCTATGTCATTTTAGATAAGTACACAATTAGGTAGGGGTTTCTTGGATTGTTCTATTCAAACTAATTGCCCCTGGATTGTACTGCAGGTACCTAAGTAGTAACTTGGATTTTATCCTTAGCAATTGACCTACGCCTTGATATCTGAAACATAAACACTGCATTGGTTTTCTATCTAATTTTTTAATGACACCTAGTTTAGAAGGGAGGTCTTTTACTTTTAGTGTTTATAATTTTCAGTCTTTTCCTGGAACCATGATGAGATAATGTCAATTACAAAAAAAGATGGAGTTTAAACTGGAAACTTTGACAGACCTAATAGTTTAAAGCTACTTGGTAAACAAAGCTGTTGAGTACTTGGATTTTTTTGGTTTAAGCAGAACTGCAAATCAATAGCAATAAAGGTATATTTTTACAGTTAAACTTTAGCTTTTTGCTGGGAGCAGCTTAATGTTTTTTGCCTAAAAGCACCACAAACCCAGTACACTCGCATGTTAGTTTTGCATGACGGAGAAGAGATATCATGTGGAAAAAAGTATATGCTGTAAAACTGATTTCCTACTGAAATGGTCCATATACCACCACTATAGAAATACTGCAAGATTTCACATTTACTGAAGTGGCAATTTCAAAAACTCTTATATTCTCCCCATCAAAAAAGCCTTGGTGTAAAGCCTGTTGAGAATAAAATCCCCTGGAAATGACTCGAGGGGATCGATTCTCAGTCAATGTGTGCATCGGCATAGCTCTCAGCCTTCAGTCAAAGCCATGCTGATTTGTGGTAGGTAGCAGTGGTTTCTCAGGTCTCAGTTCTGAAAGGATCTGAACACTTCTTGCTATGTGCCAGAGAGCATTTATGGCCTCACAGGTAGTGCTCTTGCAGGATCCGGCCTTTCAGAAGATGCTCTTGAAAGACTAGTCCTGTTTGCTTCTTCAGAAATCAGATTCTAGGAAAAGCTTGCTTTTTTTCGTCTTTTACTTTCCATTTCTTCAGTCTTCATTTCATACCATTATGCGCTTTGACCAATGCTGTTTCAGGCTGAATAATCCCCTGAGCTTCTTCGGTTTCATCTTTAAATGAAATAGGGTGTTGTTTGGCTATAGTTCATAAAATGTGTCATTTGATTCAACATCTTAATGCATTACCTCATACTTATCTCATTCTCACCATATCTTTGGGCTTATCTATACTTAGAAGATCATTCAAATCAAGGCATGAAACGAATCTCCATGTGTTTCTGAGCAATCCAGGACAACTACAGGAAAAGGAGCCATTGGCTTCATTCCACTCCTGGAAAAGAGCTTGAAGGCATTTGAGATTCTACCTCTTCCTTCTTTCAAGCTACATGGGAAAGAGACCTGAACTCTGTTGTAATCTTTATGTGGAAGAGGTCTAAAATGGACATGACACTGTCCATGCCCTATGACAGCTCTCCTGTTCCACTCTTCCTCTCTCTCTCAGGCTAAAAAGAGACTGTGGCTCATTGCAGCCAATTCCCTGCTGAGGCACAGGCAACGCCCTTGAACTCTCTTGCCTGCTTCCTCCTCACCCTGTAGTTTTTGATCTCTTACACTAAAGGCCATGTTCATTGCAGAAAAGCGTGAGGGTTTGCATCTTCTGGAATCGGTGCTTCATGAGTCCGGCCAGACAAACCTCTGATACGTGCTTGTTGGTGGCTGTGGGAGATGACCTGGGTCATCTTGCTCAGTCCACTATTCCTACTTGTTATGAGCGAACATACAAAAGAAGCAATTTGGCTTTTGCTTTTCTCTTCAAGGCTTTTAGTAGCTATAAAAATCAGACAGTATGAGGTTTACGTGGATTTATGCTTTATACTGAGTAATCTGACTTGGAAAAGTGTTAAAAGCTGTATTACACTGTCTGGGCGTGTTTCAAAGAATTCTCAAATCAAGATTCTGATGGCAGAGGCATTTTCAAATATTTAGCATAAACCTCACATTCAGATTTCTTGAATTCATACTTTTCTTCTATTTTTGCTTCTTATTTAGCTAAACAAGCTCAGTATTTTCCAATATCACTTTTCAACTATGGAGGAGATGTATTCCTAATTAGCTTTGATTCTGCAGAACATTAACTGGTGCTTCTCTATTTTACCAGCTCTAATGCAAACTTCAGGCAAATAAGGTGTAAAATATACTGAACGCTACCTAGTGTTGCCTAGTTTAGAGATAACGTAAAAAGGGAGTAGGTTTGCTTTAGAAAAAGTAGCAATGAAGTATGCAATGATTTACCAAGACAGACAATTTCCAGTCTCTTAAAAATACTTCTATTATTCACTTCGTCACTTAAATGGGAAGAAGCTTGATCCTTTTGTGTTTGTATTTAAAATACACAGGCTAGATCTTGGGAGAAATTGCTACCCTAGCTTTTGTTCATTGCACGTACACTTCTTTAAGGGAGAGTACATTTTTTTGATAGCTGCAGTTAAGCTGTTATATAACATAACACTTCTAAGTGCTTGCATTAAAGTAAGACTTCTTCATCATAACTACATTCATTTTACTTAATGACAAATTTTGCACTCAGATCTAATTATGGAATCCTAAAAATCCTGCACTGAGTTTGCATGGCAAGGTTTTGGTAGCGGGGG